AAGTTTTGACAAAACTCGCGGCTACTCAACTCTCTCCCGTGCGCAAAGTTTTCACAAAACCCGCGGCTACTCAACTCTCTCCCGTGCGCAAAGTTTTCACAAAACCCGCGGCGACTCAACTCTCTCCCGTGCGCAAAGTTTTCACAAAACCGGCGGCTACTCAACTCTCTCCCGTGCGTAAAGTTTTCACAAAACCGGCGGCGACGCGACGGCTTTGCGGGGCTCGGCCACCGTCGTCACAAAACGTGCCTTTGTGCGTCCACCTGTGAATCCGGTGGCCCCGTTACAAACTATTCAACTGTTGTTGTTGTTGTTTAAAATAAAACATTAGCAGGTAAGGTCCACTGAGCTGCAACACTCTTTTTCAGAAGCTACTTGGCCACAAATGGTAGCTCAACGAAGCGGCTTGTCACGTGGAAATGTACGGCAGCAGACAAAAACTCTTAAGCGCACGTTGATTATAAATGTGGAGGGAAAAACCGGAGGACCCGGAGAAGAATCCACGCGACAACGGGGAGAGGAACATGCAAACTCCAAATACACGGGCGTCAGGGTCGGGGTCGAACCCGTGAACCCTCCTGCATACCAGGCGTGGTAGTTAAAGTTTCGCCACCGTGGCGCCGCAAGATTGTGCGTTCCCCGCCGCAATGTTATTTGTTCTCACAACAAGAAACCACCGCTGGAGTTTTAATGTCGCAAACCGTCGCATGAATTCTGGCAGCAGTCAAAGCGGCCGCGTGGCAGGAGGGAGCGGTTCCTAAAATATTAGCCACTCTAGTGACGCATCCGTTCGTCAATTATATTATTGCACCCACGCCACAAAGGTATCGAATTTCGTCTGAAAGAATTGATTACTCGGAATTAATTCGTTGCATGTGTAAGAATTATACGCTTAACGTATTCAGAGACCTTCATCCACCACTGGATTTATAATAGCCGCTGATGATAATGATGGTATGCTGTTAAAAAAAACGTACAAAATTCTACAAATGAGACGGAAAATGTTTTTGTTTGACAAATACAATAGAGCTCGATTGCGGAATCAAAAACGCAACCCCGAACCGCCAGACAGTTCGTGGAATCGCTGGGGCCAAACCCAATTACATGCCTGCTACCTTTGCTCGGTGCTTGATTGCACTGCATTGCCATTTAAAAAAAAATCTATTTTCAAAGGATATCAGTAGAGATGTGCAGCGCATGTACAGAAGCTACTCGGTATTATCCAGTAACTCGCGAAGGTAAAATTTAATCTCTGTTCACTGGGCCCGGCATCTCGAGTGCATGGGTGTGGAGCGAAATTGCTTGATGTCAGTGTTGAGAAGTGATGTTGGCTTCAGGTCAGGCTTGTGTCATTCCATCGGGTGCTTGCTTTACGATACGAGTCACGATAAAACTCTATTGAATGGGCTGTATGTACAGGTGCAGACCTGTGTGTTTGTGTTTGCATATACAGTAACTCAAGAATCCCAAGGAGTGCAAGGGTGAGCTACATATCCACGCGCCGTCAGAAAAAAACATATCCCATTTTCCAAAAATGCAAGTTTGTGTGAGAGGGGAGTTGGTGACAATGTTTAACGGGGAAAAAAAAAGCTCCGCAACCATCGTCTCTCGCTGCCATCTACAAGTTGTGAAGCGATGGGATAGAACAAAGTGCACGTTTGGGGCGAAGGCAAAGAGAGAGAGAGAGTTGGATTGACATCTGCGGAAATGGCCACCGCCTTTGTAAGATGAGCGGGGAAAAAAAACACTTTAGATTTCGTTTCGATTTAAAGCTTTCGTGACTGCAGTGATTCATATTCTTGGTTCTTTCGGTAAAGTTACGTAGAAGGGAAATAATAAAAATAAATTCTCACGACGTTTCGATTGCAACACAAGCAATCATCATCATGTGTGAAAAACCACAGCAATGATTGCTTGTGTTGCAATCGAAACGTCGTGAGAAATTTATTTGTAATTTTTATTATTTTATTATTTCCCTTCTACGTGAATTTACCGAAAGAACCAGTAATTTTTAGCTTTCGTGTTAAGTGATAATTCAATGGGGTTGTCAAATTATCTAATAAGGGGATAACAAAAAAATAACACGCATTAGTCTAGCTCACATTCCATCTCTCTAAAGCAATCAGCCTTGACAGGTGGATGAAGTTCCGTGAAAATTACGCATTGGTGCGGGGTGACACAAAAAAAGTCATACTTTCTCTCTTGCTATTTCACCTTCTAATAACAAATTAATTCTAGTTGCACCATATCACCTTGTAATCCGTATATAATTACGTGGACTTGGGCAGAATGCGTCACGACGAAGGACAGAGTGGCAGCTATTGCAGGAAACTCCCAAAAGCATGAGACCATGTGTGTGTGTACGTTGAACTTCTTTCGCACCCTACGCAGCCAACCGTGATAATCGTAGGTTCTGGGGGGGGTGGACAACACACTATACTAGCTCCTACACATGACAACAGATCGCGTGTAGGAGCTAAACGGACCGTTGAACTGCGGGTCCCTGGAGATGTGTGGGGGGGGGGGGGATGGTGACTGCTTGGGGAGACTGTCATGCAGCAGTGGAGTGATCATAGCTGATGATGTTACAGTCGATATGTTTTTGCTGATTAAAATAACAAGCGTGACCCTGCACAACACATTTTGACGAGCCCAACTTGTTTTCTAACTCTCTGAAGGTTACCTGTAGGACAAAGACAAAGACCCCCCCCCCCCCGTATAGCCTTAAACGACTGTTGGGGCAAGTGCTGTAGCACTTATGAAGGCCGCCACGGCACACGAGGGGGTGCATGATGTTAACGACACACCACACCAGGTACTACTCATTTGAGGCCGAGTCGACCTAGGGGAGGCCCAGGACCGGTTTAAATAATCGTCACCGGTGTTGGCCGTGGGCGGGAATCGAACTCGTGTTGTAGCGCGGAGCGCTAACCGCTACGCCACCGCTCCCACCACACATACACACACACACATATGCTTGTGTTTATCGCCGCAAGTTCTCAAGTGAAAGGATTAAAAAGTGCAACTCACAGACTCCACTTTGTGGAATGTAAGTTTACGAGAGGTGGAGATGCAAGGAGAGATATGCAACCCTTAAGAAGTGGAAAATCCTTTGTGTAAATAGGCCACCCACAGCTCCAGAATTGACGTTGGGTTTAAAGAGTGTTTGCTGTGTATACTGTAACCTTTAAACCCAGGAGATGCCTGGCTTTTTTTCCTCCACGAAGCTCACGGTCCACCTTAAACAGCGTCCGCTGCACAAGCCATGGCAGCAGATGCGGATGCCTTATACACAAATGGAAAAGTATAAACTCTCCAGGAATATAAATTTCGATTTAAAGCTTTCGTGACTGCAGGGAATCATCTTCTTGATGCTTTCGGTAAAGTCACGTAGAAGGTAAATAATAAAATAATAAAAATAAAAGATCATAAAATAATTCTCACGACGTTTCGGCCACAACGCAAGCAGCCGTCCTCAGGCCGAAACGTCGTGAGAATTATTTTATTATGTTTTATTTTTATTATTTTTATTATTTCTCTCCAGGAGTAGCGTATCGCTGCGGTCATCCATAACAGACCGTGCAACGGATAACGACGCAATGCCCCGATCCACAAATACGAAGGACACTTGACAGCGATGACACACTCCGCTCCTGCTCCTGACGTGGTTATCTTCTGGCTTGACCACCTGAATGTGAAACTGTAAGCTGTTGCTCTGCATCATCTACATCAGCAGCTTTCCCCACCTCCCACCTTTGCCCCCAGCATAATTTCCTGCCTTCCTTACACCAATAAAGAGGTCATTTTAAAGAGGTCATTTTAGCGGAAATGGTTAAACAAACAAATGGTTAAACAAACATTTTCAAACATTTTCAAATGTTTGTTCAGCTTATTAGGCCCTTGAGTTATACGCTCTATAATTCCAATTCTAAACTGGGCAATTAGCAAACGTCGTGATTTTATTTATTGTATTTTCTACCAACGTGACTTTACCGAAAGAACCAAAGAGTATGGATCCCTGCAGTCAGGAAAACTTCAAATCTAGATTCATTAGCATACAGTTACCCTTCTTTCTGTCTGTAAAAATAATATCCCTCAACACTGTAGCTTTAAAAAGAAAAGTTTTTAAATTTCCTAACTCAGATATTCCAATCATGTTAGATTATTTTTCGTTTTGTATTGGTTCCTGGACATCTGTGAAAAAGATCTTCATAGCTCATCGGATTCCTCCAATATAAATATGATGATTCTGGTACATCCCCCCCCCCCCCACCCCTCTGCTTCTCCCGGGCAACTGGTGAACACTCAAAAGAGGATACATTGTGTCACCACTTGTGGGTCAATCCTCTTATCCGCGTCGAGGCTTGAATCAAACAGAATCATATCGTATTGGCGCAGCTTTATTCGGACAACATAGGTATTTCTTTGCGAATAAGAGGAGTTTTGCCGTGTAGTGTGTTTATTGGTAAGACCTCTATGATGTAGCCGCGGGAATGCATTTACACGTTTTTGAGCAGTCAAAACCGGTTGTCGCCGGCGGACGCTCGCTTCCACAAATGTATAGACGTGAAAACTCCACCACATTGACAACTAAAAAAAACTCAACTTGTTTTTTTATTTGACCAGGTAAGGCCCACTGAGCTCTTTATCAGAAGCGACCTGGCTATCACAAATGGTAACTCAACGAAAGCGGCTTGGCACGTGGACATTTTTAGCAGCCAAATACTCTAAGCGCATGTCGATTCTCAATGCAGAGGGAAACACAGAAGAAAGATCCACGCGACCATGCAAACTCCAAATATACAGGCGTCAGGGTCAGAATCGAACCCGCGACTGCCTCTACACCAGGCGAGACAGTTAACATCTCGCCACCGCCGATGCTGAGCAGCGTCGCACGCACGACTCCTTCGAGCGAGGAGACGCACGCGCCCGTGCCTCAACAGCCACCGACACACGCCGGCCATCCCTGACAATGCCGACGCTTTTCTTCCTCCCCGCAGGCTCTTCACCGGCCACCCGGCATCCAAACAGTACTTCGCAATGTTCAAGGACCTCGAGACCGCTGACGACCTGAAGGCCTCGGCCAAGCTGCGCTGGCACGCGGGCCGCGTCATGGGCTCCCTGGACAAGGCCGTGAGGAGCTTGCGCAACCCCGAGGAGCTCATCCAGATCCTGCGCGCCGTCGGACTGTCCCACGCCAGGCAGGCGACGCCCGTCGACGTCAAATACTACCACGTAAACGGCTGCACCGATCCTGGCACCGATCTTGGCACCGATCTTGGCACCGATCTTGGCACCGATCTTGGCACCGATCTTGGCGGCGACGGCACCAGGTTGTGCAGTGAGGGCTCGCGGAGCCGGGGCGTGCACGAGCGACCGGCCGTGAAGGTCAACGGAGTTGCGTCGTGCGGTCGCTCGTGTCGCCCGGCACGCGCGCACGCACGCACGTGTGTGTGTGTGTGTGGGTGCGCTGTGTGTATCTCGGTCATCTCATCTCAGTCATCTCGGTCATCTCGGTCAGTTGACCCGTGGCACCTGCTGGGTCTGCCCCGTGACCTCCTGCCAGCGGGCGTTCGACACTTCACGTGGCCTCAAGGTGCACTTGGCCTGGCACAAGCGTCGTGGTGACGTCAACGCCACTTAGTGGCGAATGGCGGTTGTTGTTGTTGTGTGTATAAAGTTAGGGGGAGTGGTAGTGTAACGGTTAGCACGCTGCACTATGAACCCAGGAAGCCGGGTTCGATTCCCGCTCATGGTCAACACCCGGTGACGATTATTTGAACCTGTGGGGAGATAAAGGCGGCCAGGCGTGGTGCTGGCCACCCACCCCCTCGTGTGCCGTGCTGGCCTTCGTAGGTGCTCGCTAACAGCACCTGCCCCTACAGTCTGTTGAGGCTGTGTGGGATAATTTTTGTCCATCAATTAAATTGATGCCTAATGCTCACAATACAAGCATAGAAAAGTGTGTTTAAGAGTTGTTTACAGTTTATATGCTGTCACATTTTAGCTCACGGTGGAAATAATACTGTGCAAAAATGAGGCAAAACTAAATATGTAGAAACGTACATTGAACTTCTTTCGCACCGTACGTAGCTAACCGTGCTAATCGGAGGTGCGGGGGAAGGACAACAAACTAACACACAAAAAATGGAAATAATACAAACGACAGTGGAAACAAAACAACAAATAATTGATTCTTGAGTCGTATCACAACCGCGGAATGCTATCGATGCATCGATTCTCTGGTGGGGAGTGAAATCGTTACGAGCATCGTGATGTGGCCAGGTGGTGGATGTGGCCAGAGCACTGACCTTACACACTGAAGGCTGTGAGTTCAAATTACACTGGTCAACACACTTTTTCTGGCATAAGGTATTCCAACGGGTTTAATGTAATTTTGGGGTGCTGATTCCAAATCTGGCATCAGTTTTAGTCTATCACATCAGGTTTTTGAGATATCAAATATTGCATTTTCAATAAAAACTGCAGAAGATAAATATTAAATAAATGTGGATATCTACATAAAATGATATTATAAACACACTATCCTAAAAATACAGCACCATATTTTAACACTAAAGCAGTCACTGACTCGCAACAACTCGCAATCATAAGTGACAGAGTTAATTTCGGGTAAAATCAATAAAAATGGGGTATGCCGATAGCACAAAAATTAGATGTGATAGAGCAAATCTGAGATCAGATTTGGAATCAGTACCCTGAAATTAGTCTAAAACAGCTGCAAAAGTCCAGGCCAGAAAAAAATGCTTTTTTTTTGTTGACCAGTGTTATTATTGGTTGGGGATGGACTTAGTTCACCATCCATTGAGGGTGGATTAAAATCAGAACTGCTTTGTAGGACACTAATAAGAAGAGGATGGTCACAGCCATAGGAATGTGGAATGTACATCCACTTACTCGTGCGCGCTCCAGCCGTATATTTGCACCAACCCCCACTTAATTTCAATGTGATGACACTTGGACATTTGATTATGGGCATTTACACATATATACTACTTCCTATCAAAATGCGGTCTATGTTGCACAAACAACATTGAAAACATGACTTAAACAAAAACAACAACAATGATAATAAACGCATTGTTATTATAAAAAAAGGCTTGTTATCGTTAATGATTCCACAAAGTTTCTGCAACGATTGGACGCCGTGAAAAGTGCATTTTTAAATGTGCCCCCCGTACTTTACCACCGTTTACATTTTTTTACGTGAAAACTAAACCAAAAATACAACGATGCACATGCATCTTTAATAATTACTGTACAGAACAACCGTTTCTAAAAACAGACGGCTCATCAACAATGCAGTAATTATATCCACAGCGAGCACCTCACTATTACCCCACTGATACAGGTCTCTGTGTATGTGTGCACAGATGATTAACTTGAGCTCATTCACGGGTCAGTTAACGTTGGCTTTAACATTCCATCCAACACGACGTCTAGTGACTTATCAGAAAGCAAAACTGATCATTGACATATTCAAACCACGGCGTGTTCAAACAGGGAGCTTATATTACACACGTTGTTGCGCACGTGCCCCTTCCTGTACGGATCTTTTGTCGATCCTCCGCTGGGTGAGGGATTCCTATGCCACGCGGCAATTTGGGGGTAAACTTGACCATACTTGATAATTGTTTTTTTACCCTTCTATCTGGCAACAAAACTGACACCTTTTTTTACAAGGAGTCATGTTTGCATAGACCACAATACCTGCAGCCATAATGCAAACAAAAAACATAACTCTGATAATATATGCACTGTCCTTGAAGTTGATTGGTCCACACGCGAGACAGCTTTCCTTAGAGCCTCGTCTCACATGGGTTGGACCAGATGACGCCAAAAGGCGCAATCAACTTCAAGGACAGTGCATATATTATCAGAGTTATGTTTTTTGTTTCCATTATGGCTGCAGGTATTGTGGTCTATGCAAACATGACTCCTTGTAAAAAAAGGCGTCAGTTTTGTTGCCAGATAGAAGGGTAAATAACCAATTATCATATTTTTTACTGGCAAATGAGGTTCCAATGGTGTAAATGCTTGACCATACTTCTCCACGCTGATCGGTGCGAGCTGGCGATGACCGGGAGTGTACTGTAGGTGTGGGAGGATACAAGCACCGTGCCATCATGGATCTTGCTGCGCTGCCCCGAAGCACCGCTTAGCGTAGCAATCTTGTGAAGCACGATGACCGCTCATCCGAGCGTTATCCAGGCTTAAGTTCGGAGATCTGGCGGGATGAGGGGGAATTCTGGTGGATCGGTCATGGGCAAATGGCATCATCGGAGAGAAACCATATGACTCTGTGATCTTAGAGCCCTTGCGCTACTTTTGTTTATGGGTCGACGCTGTGGGTTCACGGCAACGTTTCGCATTGCCATAGGTCAGGGGTCGGCAACCAAAGTAATAAGAAGAGTAATTTTTTGCGTTCGGTAAAAAAAAAACCCATCAATATTTCAAGAGCCGCAACGCACGTGAATACGAGACGGTGACGGTCCTCAATAAATAACATCACGAAGCAGTCCTTCAAGAGCCGCATGCGGCTCCGTGCCGCAGGTTGCTGACCCCTGCCATAGGGTGAACCAATGCCCTGTGGATTGATGACATTCCACGTTAAACTCTGCATGCAGGTCATCTGAAACGCTTGGGCTGTTGTGGAAATGTTGTGTACCCTTGTTTATACAATAATAGTCATGCAAGCTCAAACGTGTGCGTCGATCCGCAGTGTTGTAAGTGCTTTGTCTGGATGCTAACTACTTCCCGGCTGCCGCCTTTCTCCAGGATACAAGTGTGTGTGTGTGCGTGTCTCGATGGAAATCGATGTCATCCAATTCACATTTGGAAATATTGGCATTCACGTGGGTTTTCTGAATTTGCATTCGTAATTAATGGCACGCTTTGTACGTTAATTTTTTACTTCCTGCAAAGATTTCGGCTTGGATTAGCAGATGAATGGCAGCACCCAATACCGTCACTGGGAAAACCCATGTGCAGGCGTGAAATCGGAGCATCTGAATGCCCATTTGGCGAGACCATTCAACAGAGCGTATCACATTTTAAATACACGGTTAAAAATACAACGTGCCAATTTTTGCTTGCATTTTTTTTTTCATCGTAACCACCGTCAAATGCGCCAGTTGTCTTTCGACTGGCACAAAAAAACACACCTACGTCAAATCACGCGTCAGAAAGAAAATGTATTGTATACACGGAAGCGTATTCCCCCTCAACTGAATTGAATGGGTACGTTTAATTGGATCATTCACGGTGGCTCTCCTGTCTCCAAGAGGGATGCTTAAAAGTAAAGGTGCCTCGAGCCTTGCAATTGTTATAGCTGATGCCACTGCTGGCAGAAGGGCCTCCATCCAGAAAAAACTAAACTATTTTTAGTTTACCAGGTTAAGGCCCACTGAGCTGTCTAGCTCTCTTTCAGAAGCGACCTGGGCTCAAATGATAGCTCAACTAAGTGGCTTATCACGTGGAAATGTATAGCAGCCGAATACTTTAAACAGCATGTTGATTCTAAATGTGGAGGGAAACACCGGAGGACCCGGAGAAAAATCTACACGACCATAGGGATAGAGAACATGCAAAGTCCAAATATACAGGCATTGTCAGGGTCGGGATCGAACCCACAACCTTCTGTATACGAGGTGAGGCAGTTAACATGTCGGCACCATTGCACTCGAGATCGAACTCTAAAGGGTATCAGACGTGCTGGCAGAGATGGACATACGGACTCACACGTCGCCCCACCACGCGCGACCCCGGTGATCGACCGACTATGCTGAACCCAGTTATATTTCTGGCTGGACACAGTTCGGTGGTGGGGATTTTAAAATAAAATCCTCATTGCTTCAACTGCCACACCTGGGAGATGGATTCGAACCAGCGGGCTCCCGATTGCCAGTCGATTGCGCTCACCATTACGGCCGGATACCGTGTTAAATGTGTGTCGTCTGCGAATATAATTGCACCTCCCTCCGTGGCTCCAATCCATCATGAGATGGGCGGTGCTGTACGCGAGTACACGCTGCCCTCCTTCAACGATTGTCATTTTCAATTAGTGCTCTCTCCGTCCGCTTGAGAGATACCGCGAGAGCTACAAATGCACCTCTATACTCGAACACAACAAAGGCAAATCTTTCCCTTTAGCCGCACAGACTGTTTGCCTTAACCGGTGCTCGCTAACGGCACGGCGCATGAACGGATGGTGTGATCTTAACCATTCCGGCCACCTTTCTCTCCCCAGTACGAATGGCTTATACATCACTCCAGGTACTCGGTTTGGGGATAAATTAACCTCGGGGCGGCCCAGCATGGGTTCAGATGTCAATGACCACTGATATTAGCCGTGGCTGGTAACCGTTAACCCACCGCTCCCCACAACAGCCGCCATTCACAAGTCAGTAACTGACGTGAAGTCTGGAGGCTTGTGAAGTGTGGAAGGCATTCTCGTAGGAGGTCACGAGATAGACCCAGGTGTTACGGGTCGACTGACTGATATGACTGGCAGATGCACCACCTGTGCTCCACGCTATGCCACCTCGCTGTGTGTTGCCCATGAATGCTCCCCCTACCAAATCCGCGACCATGTTGCTGCTACGAGACATTCTGTGGAGCAGCCGCGGCAGGAATAGCAATAAACGCGACTCAAAATGTTACGTGGGACTTGTGCCTTGTCACTCTCTCTCTCTCACACACAGATCCTGGGCGGCATCATCATGGACGTTCTGCTGGAAACGTTTAAGGACGAGCTGTCTCCGACGGCGCGCGGTGCCTGGACGAAGCTGCTGGCCACCCTGTGCACCGAGTTTGAGAACGCGTACAGAGAGGAGGGCGTCCTGGAGCAAGCGGCAGCCTAGATGATCAAAGAGGCTTCCGGCGTTGAGGAAATCGTGGGGGGTGGTGGGGGAGGGGGGCGAGGCAAATACGGTGTAATTGGTGTCGTGCTACCTTTTCACAATGTGTTCGCAGTGGACCAGTTGGGGTGGCGGCTTCTTGATAAAAACGCATGTGGTGTGTTACAAAGGCATCCGTTGAATCCTTGCACAGAGAGAGAGAGTTTGGGAGCCGCAGCCTTTGAAGCTGCAGCTCACTGGTGGGGAAATGCTTACTTGCAGATGGAATGAGAGATGTTTGGTTGGCAATTGATGAGTCGACGCTTGGATTTTTTATTTACTGTCTTTGTGCGTTTTAATTTGCATGATTTTCTTTATATCTTTTTTATTGTTTTGCTTCCGTCTCCTCCGCCCCGGCCCCAATTATATTCACTCATGTCACCTTTATAAATCATCACAGAGAGCAGCACATAGCTTCTTGCCCACATTACGTGGCACTATTTAAATGTGCTGCAAATGATGTTTATCACTTGGTCATACTTTTCTTTCGTCCACACTGGTGAAGCAAGCATCAGCTTCAGTTGTGGCGAGTCATTGGTGACGAGGCTGAGACCATCAACTGACTACACTTGAAAGCCTAATTTAATCAAGAGTATCTGAAACTCGGATTCAAACCCAGGATTTCAGTGAAAATGCTTCAGTCTTGTGACATGGTAATAGCTCTCTCTCAACCTGGCCATTCTTATTGATTTATTTTCGAATCGATAACTGACTACGTCCAATTTTGTTTACCCGGTACATTTAGACGTCTGTATGTTTCATCCTTACAGATGTTCTAAATTACTCACAGCATTGCACATGTTTACGATGACAAAACTCTGTATCACTGCCTCCTTACTTGAGAAGATATAATTATTATGGGTGACTCACTCTTGGTGCTCCACTAACTACAATACACTTTTAAGAAAGCGACTGTTATATTATATGAAATGTTTTGGTTTTAATAAACATTGTGTCAACAAACTCACATTTTTAACGGTTAATAATTGGTTTCCAATAAAGGTTCATTGGGAAATTCCGCATTAAAGCTTTAAAGGTAGTATCGCAAATTATTTCACAAGGGTAAGAAATGCAATATGATCATTTTTCAGTGGGTTTGCCCATTAAACAAAAAAACAAATAACTGCCTGAACTAAGGCCATTGATTCAAACAGTGGGACGCACTGCGGGGGGGGGGGCGGGTGCTACATTCAACACAGCCTACAGCAAATACAGCCGCTCGCAATTATGGTCCCAACGTTGCCATCGGGACAATAGCGACCCATGATAAAAAAAAACACCAATAGCGGGGCACTATTAACATAGCTGTTTACGACGCGACTGAAAAGTCCAAAAATGTTTTATGTGTCTCCCTGCTCAAACAAGCATTGGGCTGCTGGTGCCTATCTCTATATTCTTAGGTTTTTTCGGTAAAGTCACGTAGGTAAAACATCAAAATTAATAAAAAATAAAATAAAACAAAAATCACGACGTTTCGGAGGCAACACAAGTCTCCGTCATCAGGTGGGACCGTCACAGCCGGATTAGCTGCATCAAGTGAGGCAATGATTCAAGATGTAATCCCTTAAAAAGCAAGTTGAGGGGGAGGAGAGGGGGGGGGGGAGCTCATCAGAATGTGGTAGCCAATGAATGGAACGTATCGGGAGGGAGGGGGGCGGGGCTCAAAGACGGCACGGAGTGCCAACCTAAGAATATGAATCCTTGCAGTCACGAAAGCTTCAAATCTAGAATTAGTGCCTATCTCTGTTGGTGGCGCTAAAGCAATGACGGTAATTCCACATTCTCGTGGTGGGGGAACCAGTCGCTCAGTAGGTCGAGTGAACTCTCACCACCTGTATTCCGTGTGCAAGGTGTATAGAAGACAAACTCAAGTTTGATAGCTATCAATAATATCAATAACGTGTTTATTACGGGAGCTCATGCTTGATAATTGTGGATGCTGGATCTAAACCAAATCATCTCTCTCATCGAGAGTTCAATGCCGACCCCTCACTGCCCGCTCACCACTCCAGGTCGCCAATTTTAACAGACTACTGTGTGACCGTGCGCATTTCCACCCACCTTTTTTATATAATCTCAAAATAAGCAATGGAATTTGAGGATTGAATGCTTCACTTGCCTAAACATATTTCTCGGTTTTTGCTTCTTGTTGTTGTTGTTGTTGGTATTTGAAATGTTTACAATGTTGCCAGGCAAATTGTCTGCAATGCTCACCCTGGTGGTATTCCTTAGCCAGTGGCGATGGTGGGGAGAGTGGGGCGGTCTATCAACAGCACACATCATTGTTCAACCTTGCACAAAAGAGTAATCGCTTTACTGACCATTGAGAAGTAATAGGCAGAGTTAACCCTTGCGAGGATTTTAAAGTGTGACCTTTCCGATCATGAATTGAGCGCTCTTGCCACACAGCCATCCGGCCAGACATATTGCCAGTACTATATGTTATACTTACAAAAAATATATTTCCGACTTGTATTACATGTTACATTACTGTTTAGTTTTGATTAAAATCTGAATATAAGCTTTACACAAGGTCTCAATTTCTTCATTTAAAACGATTCAACTAAACTCTGCTTGCTGCACTCCATGTGTTATGTGTACGACTACGGTGAGTCAACGCTAAGACATATTCGCTTCAGTGGGTTTTTGCCGAGCCAGATTCTCGGAAATGTTTATGGCCAAATATAATACGTGTCAATAAATGAGATGCTATATCATGGGACCTTTTTTTTGCCAGTATCAAGGCAATATGCTTTGGCAGTATCTTTTTGCGTGTTCACCGCAAGTACGTGTGGTTAATGCAGACTTGATTTCTTGCAAAATGAATCTATTAGATGTTTGAACATCTTAACACCTGTTTTATTTTCCAGAAAGGGTAAAACCTATCATTTTTCAAATGAGATGCTGGCAGAAATTGGATATAAGACGGAATGCGCCCTGCCATTTAAATACATCCAAGCCTCTCTCATCAGCATCAATCAGCCTCTTGGTCATACATAAACATTGACTAGACACCTCTGTTATAGAGTGTCATCTTGCATACTTGAAATGATTCGTGAGAAAAAAACTGATGCCAAAATACTGGGAGGTCTGCGGCGAGGAAATCACGGGGCGGCATGCCAGGCAATTACACGGCAGCAAACCTTTATGCATATACTCTTAGTTTTTTCGGTAAAAAAATGAAATTAAAATTAATAAAAATTAAATAATAAAAATCACGACGTTTCGGAGGCAACACAAGTCTCCGTCATCAGGTGGGACCGTCACAGCCACCTGATGACGGAGACTTGTGTTGCCTCCGAAACGTCGTGATTTTTATCATTTTATTTTTATTAATTTTAATTTCATTTTTTTCACCTACGTCACTTTACCGAAAAAACTAAGAGTATGAATCCTTGAAGTTACGAAAGCTTCAAATCTAGAACTTTATGCATATTCTTGTTGTGTTTTTTAAAATGTATTGTTGTGTTAAAAAAACTTTGCTTACAATTAATTTAGTGTGTCTTCTAGTTTATTCATGTATTCCACCATTGTCGCAAATGCAACGAAGAAATAGAGTTCCGGTGAAATGAAATCACATCGTGGAGTGGCTTGCATTAGAAACTAACGTGTGATCCATTATGAAAGGAATGCAGATATCCACAAGTATGAATCAGGAGCGAGGGCTCTCAGTGGTTTCATTACTGAGCAGTAATCCTGCAGGAAATAACACATTCCGCACTTAATTCCAAGTGCCCGAACGCTGCACACGTGTTTTTTTCTTTTTCGACAAAGCTGCCCGCGTGTGGGAGCTGCTGTAACCCGGAGAAACGCCATAAGACTTGGTGGACAACTTATATATATATATTTTTTACCAGAATGTTATCCCTTCTGTGAGTGAGCTCTCCCCTTGCATGCATAAATATTGTATTTGTGTAATTTAAACTTTGCTTGTTTGTTTACCAAATTTACAGTGATGTTTGAATAAGTAAAAAAATCAGTTTGCATAAGTTACAATTTGGTTTAACAGTAGGCTTTCACGATCAACATTATCCATAATATAGGGTTTTGGGTTAGATGGTTTAAATATGTGTAGTTAAACCCTCCACCACCCCCGACACAGCCAATTAGTAATGATTGTCACGTTAACAAAACATGGTAATTCGTTACTAATACAGCACTACACCGGTGTGTTGGAGAGTAAACACGCAACATTTGCATGACCCTGGTACTCAAAACACATTTGTAGTGTCGTCTGTGCGTGCGGGTGGCGTGTATCGCACACACAGTCAGCCGGAGACGAGGTGGTCGCAGGAGGCACCGCTCTGCCCTCTTTATCGTCGCTGTTGTTGCCGAGCTCACGCCACCACTCGGGCCCGCTCTCTCTCACGACCCCACTGCCGCACGACCCGTCCCAGACACGACCCTGTCTGCGTTGCACCGACGGCGTCGACCGGGGACAGCCAACCACGGTCCGGCCGCGCAATGATCGGGCGAAGGCGGCGGTGACGACAGCGAAGACTAGACGAGTCCAATCCCAGAACCGGCAGCCCAGAGCTCGCGCTCTCCGCTGCTTTTATTCCCCTCGGCCCGGCTTGGCTCCACCTGAGCCGCGCCTCCCTTCTCGAACCTTCCAGAGGGTTCCAGAGGCTTCCACCACACGAGGTCTACTATGACCCTTGCCCCAGTTCCTCCGCCCTGCCGGCACACACATGCTCAGCGGCGTGTGCGCAAAGTGCCCACCTGCAGTTGCTGCTGCTGTCCAACAGTCAGTGCTATGTCACTACACATTGATTCTACAAGCCGGAAGACGGATTTTGCAGTGAAAGCAGCCGGCACCCTTGCACAACTGCACATTAGAAAAACATACTCTTTGGCTCTTTCGGTAAAGTCACGTAGTTAGAAATAAAATAAAATTAAACAAATCACGACGTTTCGATCGCAACACAAGCGGTCGTCATCAGGTAAAAAACGTCGTGATTTGTTTTATTTTATTTTATTTCTACCTACGTGACTTTACCGAAAGAACCAAAGAGTATGGATTCCTGCAGTCACGAAAGCTTCAAATCAAGATATTAGAAGAACATTGAGCTGCACTCGATAAATTTTGAAAATATTTTGGAAATAATACAGTTTCAACTTACGTAGCATCTAAATGCTATTACAACTTAAGCGGGTGGAACTATTATTACATGTTGAGACGAATTAGATTGATTTCACAAAGGAAATCTGCCTGTTGAGGCATGCCACTTCGATGACTACCTTTTGCTTTAAAGTTGTACATTAACATGTTTGACACGAAATGGTCACACAGAATTTTCAGAAATGTAACTTGACATGGGTTGATTGAATAAACTGTTCCCACACGTAACCCTTATGACGTCTGACATGAGATGAATTTCTGCTCGCCTGCCCAAATCAGCCTTTCAAGAGGTGTTACGTTGGCTGAAGAATAAGCATGAACTTGGTAGACCACGATCAGTCATCCTCACAAATACGTTAACACTCATTTGTAACTCTCTGATGTTACGATGTCACCATAGTACAGCTTCATCCGCTCCTATTTTCACCATCAGAGGCCACGACTTTTCGAATGTGCAGTTGGGCACACAAGGGTGTCACCATCTTTTGAGCAGGCGATAAATCTGCCACAAAGTGAAAAAAAAGCTGTAAAAAAACGTACACTCGGATGCAAAGGTCATGCTCAAATCCACTACACAATAGTTACCAACATTGCACTGTTTAGGTTGCAGATGTATTCACATTCTGTGATTGCAACACATTTGTAGAATTTCGATTTAAAGCTTTCGTGACTGCAGAGATTCATATTCTTGGTTCTTTCGGTAAAGTCACGTAGAATAGAAATAATAAAATAATAAAAATAAAACATAATAAAATAATTCTCACGACGTTTCGGCCACAACGCAAGCAACCGTCCTCAGGTGGAGAACATGTCTGTCGAGAAGACCGTGTCTGAATGACACGCCCCAGGCTTGGAGCGACTCGCCACATTTGTAGAGGTCACACAGGTGAGGTCTGAGTGGTGTCCCTCCAGTGCATTTGCTATCGCCATGAAAGTGACCACGTGCTGGAAGGTGCACAGAAAGCATTTTGCATACACAGCTCGGCATTTCGTCTGGACACTTACAATGTAAACGAACTGCGCGTGATCAACAACAATGCGGTTAAAGCGCGCAAACAAAGCGTCAGTTTAATCCGTCTGAAATAAATTCTTACGCTCATGACACTGGCGTCAAATGACTTACAAATCTAAGAAAAATTGTTCGCTGCCGTCCATAAATGACGTCACGCGATTTTGGACCTCCCCCCCCCCACCTCGTCATACGGCGTCACAAAAAGTCAGACCCCCCTCATATATGACGTCACAAAGCTCTGCCCCCTCCCCTCCCCCCAAACATAAAACATGCTTCACATCGCTTTAAACTATTGTCATTGTATTGCGTATTTAATGTGGCGCTGCACTCTGATGTTGTAGGAGAAAACATTTATTAAAAAGTCTATTTAATTAAGTAGAACGTGTTTTCTATATTTATTTAAAGTTGCGCATTTTGATGGAGCGTCACATTTCTCAACCCCCCCCGCCTTCTCGTCACACATCGTC